TGCCATCTCTTCGTCCACTTGTAGCGATCTGTGCTCTTCTGGGAGTCTTACTAGTGATGTAAATGGAGTTCCCTGACAAAGGAAGCGGTCTCATGCGCTTTTACATCGGCTAGAATCGGAGCAGACTTACAAAGAGCCACATTTCGTCAAAAAGTCTAGTCGCAGTACCGTAGGTAATACCATGTTGAATCACTACATACTTGTGTGGCATATAACAAGGCGAAGGCGAGAACCCGTACAATTTATTTGATTGATAAATACATGGATTTTACCAGTGCAAGGTAGAACGAGGTAGCTAGCGCTTGTGGTTACCTGGTGGAGTGGCAACGTCATAATCCAATTGTCATCCATGTACTGATAACGTGTATAATGATTACAGGACAGGTAATGTACCACTATGTATTAAATCCGACGAAACAGTGATGTTTTATGAGGCTGATATTAAGTCCTAGTCTATCAGTAACAGCAGTTCTTCAGTAGCTTCTGTAAGGCCTAGTATAATTAAAGGCTTTACATCGTGTGAGTCATGCACCCGTTACGATGCCTCATAAATCATTTGTATCGATCGATCATAGTCGTCAAGGGCTATAAGGGTTTCGTCGATCAGGAACAGGGGAATCATAAGGGAGTCCGTCTTTAAGGCAGAGGCCAAGCAAAACAAGCCATTGAAACGTGTCACACGAGTACTCAGTTCGACTAGACGATATCCTACGATCAAGGCATCCGGTGTGCGTAACATTCCGAAGCGACGCTCAATGGCAATATCGGGCTTACAAATTGAAACACCTGTTCCTATGCGGAATATATGAAATAAATTGCAGATATATTCGGGTACGTGTAAATATATTTATACATATACAAAGTCATAGCTTATATAACATGTGCTGTATATGTATAGCCTGTAGTGAGCATCGTATGCTTTGCACAAACCGCGCGAAGTAAATAATATATAAATCAAAGGGGAAAGCTGTTTTGCATGCTACCCAGATAATTTTAATCAGCTTCCATACACCAGAAACATCTGTTACGCCACGATCTGGCCAATATCTGAACCGCAAAAACTAGCGAGACCCTCTTGTTCCTATAAGAAATCTAGAACCTCCAGAGCATTTCGTCAACTCTTCGCACCGCATACTACTGTCACCATTTCTATTCAAGATTTGACGCACAATATGGTACGTCACTGCAACTATCGCAATGACGCTCGGCACACACATCTTAATACTAACATCCCATTCATAGTCGAGATCTCAACTCACCTTGGGCAAGTGCCACACTTATACAAAAACAAACAGTCACGCAAGAAAACCACATTGTGCTTGCCTTTAAGCGACCATACGAATAAACTTGACCTTTTTTAGACCTACGCCAACAGCAGCGGTGGCGGAGGCGGTGGCAACGGTCAGCAATACGCAGCTTTCCGTAAGGCATCAAATTTTCACTAGCCATACCGCTAGACTCAGCTGCTCAGCGGATTAATTTCGCCTCCCGTACTCCACAGACGAGAACAAGATGGCCCGGACGGCTTGAGTGACGTATTTCGCAGCTCACCATCTGCTGGTACCGAGAAGACACCCACAGCGCAACAGACAATCCCGTAGCAGACATCACTTAGCAGCGGATCACGAAACAATTTATCGGAGCGCCGCCATCCTCAGAGACCCGGTATTTGGTGTGGAGGGACTTTTCGGCGGAGCACGCCCGTCAGATTGCCTGCAGCGTCAATTGTAGGCAGAGTGCGGAGGCGAAGAGCGGCGAACGTCGTCTTGGCAGTGGCGGAAGTGAAGGAAGACTAGATTCTATTGTTGGTACTTGCGCGTTTAGTTTACGCATTTGCAAAACGCTCGACCCACAACTGTACAGATTACTTGAATCTGTGATGGAAGGACGTCTGTTTGTAGCGAGATTGAAGGAAAATGACTGTTGTTAACTTCGTAACGCCATGGCGGAGCTAGCACAGAGACGCGTGACAGCGACAACGAATCTCATTCGCATAATAGTGCGGTGTCGAGGGTTGGCCAGAAAGAACGGCTGCAAGTAGGCTCAATAAATTCAGGCCTATATATTGCCCTGCTGGGATCTTTACTGCCTTTTCATTTCCCGTTGGTATGTTACATACACTGTTGTCGTTCGTGTACAGAGAGCCTCAAATAACAATCTTATTTCGCCACTATCTTGAATCTACTTCCCACCGCATCGATGTCGTCAAATCAATATGCTGTTGAAAAACTATGCACCGTTTTTAGCCAAAACAATGCTAGTAAACTGAGTAAATAAACTGTCATTTATATCGTCAATGACATCCCGCCATATTTTTGGTTTCGCCATAATCCCGTCACTTTGGTCTAATAAAATGTTCTAACTCTTGCGGAACAAGCAGTATCCAGCTGCATAAACGACCGTATAAAGCCAAACAGTCACAGTTAAGTAGAACTACGGCGCGGTGCCACAGCTGCTGCCGATGCGGAGATTTCAAACAATCTGATGTTTTTTTTTTTATTTGAAAAACCTAATTCATGTTTTTTTGATAACGTATCACTACTCTGACCGAAACTAACCCATCAAGTCGAAGGCGAGAGTTTTGTGGTGTTCAATTGAGAAGCTCGCGGAGCCTCATGCATCTATATATTTCCTATAATTATGTAGCATAAAACTCTAGATCAAGATATCGTTCTTAGGTTTACAAAATGGTTCGGTTCAAGCAGAGAGCCGTGCGTGTCTTCTGTGATGGTCTCATGCAAAGCGATATTTTGGCAGGAAGGGTCTGAAGCTGTAAATCGAGGACGTCAACTTTCGTACGGAACAACACTTGGCAAAGATGAGCTTTCTTAAAATTGAATTGTGCGTATGGAATCCTTGGAAGGAATCCTTCAAATGTGTTCAGAAGAAAGGATTTCTATGAACCAGATGTCGTATCAGTGCTCGAACCTCTCTCCTGGATCCGTATCTGTAACGAAAATTTTCTTTTTCTTGACTACTAACGTCAAATTCGTTGTTATCCCCAAACGTCAAGCCATTTACAAAAGCTATTCGATAACAGTAACAATAATAGTGATTATTGTCCTCAGTAATCTATGCCATCAGGCCCAGTTGTAGACGCCGACACGTCGATTGTTAGTTGATCAAGAATGTTTAGATTATAAGTGTATTACCAAGACAAACTTTACAATAATATTTCTCACAGACTTTACTGATGTTGCGCGCCATTATTGCAACGGTGCCTATTCATTCGTAAACTCTACGTCTACTTAAACGTACGGGTTTCGTTTCATCAGCAGGCCTGTAATTTGGATGCATATAAGGCCAGACGGTCGTAGATATTCCAAGCAAACTTATTACGTGCTTGTAAGGAAATTTCCTTAAACTTCCTTCTGACGATTTATCACAGATACAATACAGCCCTGCAAGATAAAAAATTTTCATTGTAAAAACGCTTGCTGTACTTTACCGAACTATCTGTTCAGCGTAATTATCAGCTAGGAGTTTACGTTTTTGACTCCACATCGTTAGACGCCCTCACGATAATGCGATAGAACCGTGCACTTATCGTCGTAATTGTATCTCCAGTTTAGTTCCTGCAGATTGCTCATATCGAGGTTCCCGCCTTGATAGGTCCTCGAAACAATGTTAAAAGGCTGTGTCAAATTCAGCTATCGAATGCGCTTCTTCATCTTTAAAGCGACAGGTAATAATTTACAGAAATTGGACAATTTAGATGTTATAAGCTGGTTTCGAGCCTATTTATAATAACAAAACTGTGAGCGCCTAATTTCGAATCTGCATTTTCAGTTTAAGCGTTTGTTGTCAATCAGTACCCATAGGGGGCGCTACCGCGTGTGAAGCTCCAACAAACTCCAGCGTTCGTCAGATGGCTTGTCGTACCCTGTTGCGTCGGTAAGCAACATCCAGTAGTTTCGAATGGCTCCGAACGTTTCTGTCGGGATTAACAGTATGTATAGAAAAAAGAAACACCTGTACAAAATATTGGCAATTTAACTATAATTTATAATGCCCAACGCGATCGCTTCAACTCTGCTGGTCGAATACAATTCCGTCCTATGAATTAGCCGTAACTGCTCAAACAAGAATATTTCAAACAGAAAATGCTCGATTTGAGAACGGAACTATTCAGCAGCTGTTCCGCTGATACATTCGACGAAGACAGGTAGGCCAGTTTAGACAGTAATTAAGTCTTATAGACTTACAGAGCTAAAATACAACGCAAGGAAATCGAGTGTATAACATACTCTATTATAATAATATATGGATATATAACAAAACATTACACTGTTACGCATATTCGGATGTGCATAATATTTGGTTTTTCTTTTCATTCATTAGCACTCAGTGTTAACGAATGTTCGCCTAGTTGGTCGCGGAAAATAAAAATTCAGCGCGTAAATTTTCATAACAATTTCAAGAGGAAGAAGAAGAAGAAGAAGAAAAAATTTCACTACGAAATTTTTTTATCTACGCATCAACTTGCAACTAGAAAGAATACCGTATTTTTTAAGCACACGTACTTTCCGCTATTAACAAAATTAAGTATGAGCATTTTCTCTACGTACATAATTTTATTGACGCCGTTATTGGTAGCCTTTTTTTTTTTAATTTCTATGAGACACTGCAGATTTCTTAAAATAGTCGATCAAATAAAATAGCGGCTAATATTCAAGCGTAAGAAAAAACAAGGAAAATCTAATTCTGATCACTGAGACGACATTGTACGCTAAGTCAGCGCCTCATCGTCGTATCAGGTACGTACAATACCTACAGCCCTAGTTCATCGCTGATTCGCTACCCGCACAAGTACCTATACAACTTGTGGAAATGAGCACAGACTATTTTATCGAATCCTATATAGAAAAATCCATAGACTCGAATGTCCCGTACATTAAATAAAAATGAAACGAAAAAACACAAGGAATTGATACAAATTTTTTACATTTTAATCACCAGAGTGTGCATAGTCACTAGGCCTCATGAGCCTCCACCAAAAATGCAAAAAGAGAGAGAGCTGATCAGAAAGTAAAATCAGTCTTATGTATTGCTTTGTACGTGTCGAAATGAGAAAGCCTAAAAACAAACAATTGAAACAGACAATACGACAAGGGATAATTATAATATATACACGCTCTAAGCTAACCAACAGGGGTTGTATCCAAATGACTTAGAGGAGTTTCTTCGTTATGGCATCAGAATCGAGACCGCCTTAGATCGTTTGATGCAATATACTTTTTCTCAATACAATTGAAGCAATGCTTAACTGTCGCATCCCATGTAAAAGTCGAGTCATATAAACGAAATTAGTCCGAAACTGAGATCAGGGGTTTCTCGTTCGCGAACTCTCGGCTCCGGCACTGAGAGACTTTTAATCCTTTCCAAAACACGGTTCAAAGAATACTGCTCGGGGCTAAAAATTGAATGTTTTGCATTATCTGATAACATAGCATGAAAAATCTAAAACGGTCTCTAAGTCCGAAAACTGCCCTCGGTAGGCTGACGAGGTACACACGCTGAAGCCTCGAACCTTGACAATACGGTGAAGTTCCTCGCGAGTCTTTGTCTGAAAATTAATGTCGTTCCCTTGCCTTTGAATGCCTTCACTTGTGTTCTCACTCTCACCCCATCAAACGAGAACTGATGAACCTATCGTAATGGGTTTATCATATAAAACGTAGATGCAGCTCCTTCATGCCATAATCACTCTGCTCAGGTATACCAGACACAGCCGAGTGGCGATCAAGCACGATATGTAGTAAGTAAAATCATCTTTTATTGTACACTATATTGTTCTTTCTAATCTTCTACGTACGCAAACTTAAACACGTCTGATTGGCACTAGTCTGCCAGTCGCCTATTTGTGCAATAGCTTTGGCCGAATAGTCGTTACTAGCATTAAGAAGCTACTCTTTTGTCTAATATAGTAATCAATATTTCCGTTGGAGCAGTCATCGATTTGTTTGTTTCATCTATTAGGATTTCATTTGCCATTTGGCAGTGAGCCGCATTGTTACCACCGCAGCCTACAAATTTACACGTATTGCGGTAGGTCAAATGTGGGGGGCCGTAGGAGCTGCGCGATCAGCTCAAGGACTGACGTCGGAGGTCACCTTTTTACCAACTTTGGGAAGGTTAACCCCCGACTTCAAGCTTCAGTTCCAACCCGGGGCCAAATTTGCCATTAGCTTGTGATCCAGCAGCTCCTAACATTTTTTGCAATCAGTATGTCTCGTTGAGGCGTGGAATTATCTCTGTAGCGGTTTTAGAACGCGTTCTTTTAGCAGAATCGCGAAGGTTGATGACCGGACGGAGTTCGTAGCTCCAACGGATTATGTTTTGTTTAGCGGTACGGCGTATAAAAGTTCCGTTGCAATTTCAAGCAAGCTCTATGTAAAGAGTGACAGTTGTATTAAGATTAGATATTTAGTGATATCATGGTCATGACGGGCGTAAGCCGTATACAATACACATGCATTTTTTGTCTGGACGGTAACGTCTGTTTTTTCAACTTAGCGTCCGGAAAAAAGTCATCCTCTAACTAAGGTTTATTCACGAGGTAAACCATGGATCCGTTCCTAATATATTATATATTAAACTTGAAGTTACCGACTTTATCGATTTTAACATCTTGTATAATATTATACATTTATATAGGTTTAATTATTTTTCTGAAAAATATTTTCTCTTAAAAATTCAGCGAAACCATTACAGTGATTATGTAGTACACGACAATGGTTCTGTAAATAGGACGAGCTTGATGCCACTTTGCCTAAAAGATTATTTCGCTCATTATTATTATTATTATCTTAGTTACTATGTATCTACCGAGGTAATAACGACAATGGACTGACTTTGGCGAACTCTGTCTGACGTCTGATTACAGTACCTGACCCATAATATTTTGGCCGGCTAATGGACACAGTTTTGCATAGGATTAAGCGAACATTTGGGTTAGTTCTAGAGTGAATGATATGAGACGTATTTTCGAATAGCGGCTTAAACAGTAACGCAACAAATCATCGAAGCTGAAATCCAATACAGAGCCTTGTTTGGGGCGATATCGAATTTGTACGTTAAAGTACTATCAGACCCTAAAATGCCCAGGCTAGATATGATCCCGTGTACTACCAGCAGCTTCACCTGTGCGCAAATGTTCCTCAAAACATTGTTGTAACCATACATTTTGCGTACATTATGTATTACCTATGGATGAAGCCCATGCTTAAGTTGGTAGTTGTGGCGGCTTTAAAAAGGGGTTTTGGAGTCGCCAAAAGGCTGACAATGAAGTCGAAACATCTCTAAGTAGCTAATATCATATAGAATAGCAAAGTGTTTTCAAGTAGGCAAAATAACGCTCTTCGTGAATACGTCCATTACCAATTAAATCACGACTTGGTATATATATATATATTCTTGTCAAGACTATTGTTATAAGTATACGCCTCGTTCATGGGACAAATGCCGTTTCCCCTTGAAAGGTTCATATGATATGTCAGCAGTAATATACAGGTCATACATTTTGTATTGATCATCTAGCTTGACTAGTCTAGGTTATTGTACATTTGGTACAAAAATAACATCGGTATAGTTCCTAACAACATTGAACGAACCTGAATCATCAGCTAACAATGGCGGAGGCAGAACGCTAAACAAATTCAACAGAAGCGGCATCAAAGCTTCGACGCTTTTCTTCGATGCAAAAAGAAGCAAGACTTTTGCGTAGGCAATATAATTGACATAATACGGCGACAAATTTGAAGGCTCTCTCTACTTCCCCGAGTCGTCGCCTACTGACAACGGCTACCCATGACGAAAATCCAACGTTAGTAAACCAAGCATTTATTCAAGCGGACATCTACATACGTATTTTCTAAATAGCCAAATGTTCCCGGGAAAGAGTATCTCGTTCACGCCGCATGAAGCGGTGGTTAGCTTCGGTACGCTCGTTTGTTGTCTTCGAGGGTGTCGTTAAAGATGAACTCACCGCATAAAAATCACTGTCAAGCCGTCTAGTTTCTTTGGTTAGCCAAAAATAAGCTCACGCAAGTATCTTTGCCATAGCAACAACACGCTGTCGTGGAGTGGCTACCTAGCAAGAAACTAAACAACATACATTGAAACTTTTTGCTCCAATAGATACTGGTGGTCTCGGCAGAAACCTGGTCAATCTTCAAGCGCAGTTTTATTTATCGGCCCAAATAACGCTGGCTTGCTCCGGTGATATTGTTTTTACATAAAGGTAAATCAGTCAAAACTGGTAATAATAAACTGCCATAACTTTGAACTTATTTCGGTGGTTACGCCGTTGTTGGTTACCTGGATACATGAACCATTCCCGTCTTCTCCGTAGCTATATCGAATGGCGTGGCTTGTCTATAGGACGTTTCTGTTAGTTCTTCTCGGTCGATATCTGTAACAGTTCACAAAAAAATAACCCTTGTTCTAACCCGGAGTTGCAGTATAGGTCCATGCGTTAGACAACATTAAATAGCCTTCTATACCATATTTTACTGTCAAATATACAATACATATGCGATCGTATTGTTATTCATTCAGCTGCCTAGATGGACTCCATTGCACTTAGTCGTTACTACCATTTAGAAGTTTGTTTTTGGTCTGGATTTGGCAGATTAAAGTTACAGTAACCATCACAGCCTTATCTGAAACCAGCAAAAAGACCACGCGCTCGATTTTGGCATGTCACCAAGCCAAAAATACGTAGCACTCAATTAGAATTAACTGAACACGCCCATCTCAGATTCATATTTCATGTCAGTGCCTATATTATAGTTCCACGAGTACTAAAAAAAAACTCTGTAATTCTCTCTCTAAAAATTCCTAATATTTGCTGATCATCTTTAATTTAGCCAAGATCTATTATCTTTTACATCTGTTTAGTGGGTGCAGATAACACGGGTCCTGTATAGCTGCTTTAGATTTTTAACAAAAAAGTCTTTTAAATTAATATTCTTTCATGCAAAATTTAATTGTACCTAAGATTCATTCATAAGCGGTGATTGCAAATAAACATTTTTGAAGGCGGGTCGATGCAAAGTTGAGAGGTTCTGGCGCCACTTGACAACGAGGGCAGACATTTTCCGACAAGGGACATTTAGAACGAACGGGAACAAAAAAAAAAAAAAAAAAACGGCGTCTCAGGCAATATATTAAACGATATGAACATACTAACATGTTGATAACCGGTTTCGAAAGTAAGTACTCATTCGATATGCTTGAATAATATGTATTACAATCTTAGCTTCGAACAAGCGACACTTAATTGTACGTTGTTCCACTGTTTTAAATCTACACCGACCGCTACCAATTTCGAATCTTAAGATGCTGAAGACGCACCTTCATGCAGCTATTACCTGCCAAAGAACGTGTAAAGGTTCAACTTGAAGTGGACGACCACTTCGGAAGTCACTGACTTCCGAGCTGGATTTATGATAAACAGAAATGAGAAGCTTTGTTTGTTGTTGGTTTCATTCAGTCGAGTCAGGGTCCTCTTACTCCTGGCGAAGGTAGAATTTCGATTTCAATGAGAAGAAACAGGACTTCTGCATCGCTCAGAGTCGTTTGGTACACCAAAGTTTAAGGACGCGACCACGAACAAAGTTCATACAACATGAATACGACCTATTATGAGATTCTTGTTGCCTTTACTTTTAAAGACTTACGTGTTTCACGCTATAATGCAACACTTCGTGCACCTTGCGCCTTTTTTTTTCTTTTTCACCTTCCTTGGATGCACTGGGGGCGAAGACTCACCGGGCGTCGACTCGGGCATAGTCACGTTTTTGGCAAAAGTCGGACAGTTTTCACCTTTTCCATGATATTCGACGCGGAATCTCGGGTTTTCCGCTGTTGCCGGTCTGATTATAACAAAGCTACAAATCAGATCTTCACCAACTCGCATAATGGCTGCCGCATTATCGAATTGATCACAATATTTAGGCGCTGAGAAAATTGTCACGCAGCGCCGACGGCCGAAAAATTCGTAACCGTCTTGAACAACTTCATGACCACGAGCCAGTAAATCGAGGTTAAACCTATCGAGGAACTCCCACAGCTGAAAAAGAGAAAATAATAAGCGACAGTTAGACATGAAAAACCTATGAAGATTCAAGGAGTAGGTTTAGATATGACAACGGGTATAGACACGCTTCGTTTGATACAGGGGAACCCAAAGCATCGCTGGATTAGAACCGGAGGTAAAACTTCCTTGCATTTCTTGTGTACAGCAAGGGCAGGTCCTGTGCTATAATTAAAGCAAACAATTTTCTGGTGCTGATGTATGTACGGTACTTTGTTTGTTTAAGTCAGCGATACATTACAAGGTCCCGTTGAATAGTGCTTGTAAGGACGAATACGTGTAACAAATCACCGACCGGTGTCTTCCCGAAGTTGAAGCCAACGCCCCGGCTACTTGGGCACCAGCCATCACTATCACGGTTAGGATCGCTCCACATTAACTGACCCATGACAACGTTTTCGTTAGGCGCCTTCTGCGGCCGACTCAACTCCGCGATCTCATTAAGTGAGCTCAGGTCTTTGACGATTCCCCCGTGGCAGCAGAAGATCCGTGTGGCGATAATGGCAGCAATAGGCATATTATTGAAACAGTTATTAAATGCCTGGTACACCTCAAAACTGAATCTGTAAAAGGATAAATGGGCTAATATAGTTTTACTAGTTAGTTTTCAGACGCTTGCAATAGATCAGACGGCTCGGAGAGATCGTTGACGTCCAGGTTGTTGGATGTGTCTATAATAATCAATACCTCACACAAATCATATATCATATATCACACAAATCATATATCATATGATTTGTGTGAGGTATTGTATATATATATATATATATATATATATATATATATATATAAGTTTGAGTGTAGTAATCACAAGCAAATACAACAATTTTCATTCTTACCGAACACCGCTACTGCTAATGGTTTTATGTGGCTTGCTTACTAGGATACAATTTTTCGTTCCTAACCTAACCTAAGCAATGAAGCACTGGGTGGAACGCTTAAAGGCATTAGGCAACCAAATCGTCTATCGGGTCAGGCATGCTTCATGCACTGTTCTCAGATACCTCATTGTCTGTGATAACAATCCAATATGATTAATTAGCCTGTGATGTTCTTTGTGATGTGACTTTAAGCAAAGATTAATGAATTTTCAAAATCAATCCGCGATTTCATCCTGGGCGAAGACGATTTTACTAAACCAATCAACTCACTGACCTGTTAACACATTCCGACAGAAATCCATATGTACTGTTTACCCGGGCTTCTTCGTGATTGCCTCTGAGTAAATGCACTTCCTGCGGATGGAGTATCTTGTAAATAAACAAGAGCATCAGAACTTCGATGGAGTTTTTGCCCCGGTCAACATAATCGCCCAGAAACAACACACGTGATAGAGGTGGATAACCCCCAGCATTTAACACTCGTTGAAGATCGAAGAACTGTCCTGCGATTAAGGTTGCTCTTGTAATAATTTGAATGCTCACTTCTTTCGACCAAAAAAGGTACATAAATATATGTCTCTTTGGAGTTCTGATGATTAAAAGCAGTTTATACGAAGTCGCCGTTTCGATTAAATTAACATTATTTTAAATAATACTTTGCATCTTGATTCAATTTTGATTCTTATAAAATACCACAACTATTGAGCTGAACGAAAGTGCAAAAAAATTTGCTTCTCTTCATACGAGCGTATCGCCCGCAATGATAAACACGTTTTGTCGCTGCCCTCCTCTCACCCCGCCCTTCTTCTCCCATCTACAGTCTGAGTGCGGCATAGAACATCGAGCTCCCAGTTCCCCAGTGGCTTTTTCCAAGTCTACAAGAAGGAACTACGAATTTCATTTGACTCTTGAGGAATCCTGATTACGTTTCGCGGAAAAAAACGCAGTCGTAGGCTTTCATTCTACCCAAGTTTCAATGAAAGTATTCATCTTGCAAATCTGTTTACTTCGGTTTGCCACGGCATCACCTGGATGTCATTCTTTTTTTTTGAGAAAAGATCAGCTCGTCATTTGGAGCGACGAGCTTCCAAAGCTTGCTCGAAGCACGCGTACAATACAAATAATTCTGATGATGAGAGCACTCTGGCAGTATGAAAAGTGTCACCTTCTATGATTTTTGAACGAAACTTCTGCATTCATTTTCCGTAACAGTTTAGGCTACTTGGGAAACGACGTGACCGAGCGGAGAGTGAAGCGATACTCGAAGCTATATACAGCCAGTAAGGCAAAGCTGTAAAGTTAGACGGGGGGGGGGGGGGGTTAACTAAAGCAAAAATCTTTATGCCGTGGCTGGCATCTGTAAAAGGTTAGGGGGCTAAAGAAAACGAGGCCACCTACACCTTTGAATCATCAAGCGCCTAAGACTGGGTCTGGTGGACGTCCGATGGCTAGTACCATCTTGATTCTCTCGACAACAGCAATCACATAAGTAGTTCTATCAATTTGAGCACCATGTGTGTTGCTGCTACCTGGCAGCGGGCAACTTTATATGAGGGACGCGGCCCTCAGTACTTCATTTTGGGCTATACTTCCTTGGATTATGATTATCTTACTAGCCTGTGTTAAGCCCTTGGTTTGGGTGGTCTTTGTAATAACCGTCTCTAACTTCAATCCCGCGCACTCGCGCTGTAGCTCAACCTGTCCGCACTCAATGAAGACAGACTACTGTGAGTTTTGTGTTGGAATAGAAATAGATCATTCGAGCTGTAGTACACGTTGCCAAGGATTTTTGTGCGTGTGGGCCTCACAATAAATACTTTGTTCGTGGGACTTGGTCTGCAATCGAGCATTAGCCTTTACCCTCTAGCCCTTAAGAATCGCATAAGCTTTTTCTAAAAGTGGTCAAAGGTTCTCGATCCTACTTCCTACTTCGTTGCTCTTTAGGACGCATGCACAGGTGAGCCATCTTATGTTCTTTGCCAAATAGAAGCCTTCGTGAGGTCGGTACACTAGTAAGCGGAAGCGGCACGACATGCTCGTCGTGGCGGTTTTCGTTGACACATTATCGGAAAAAAAGCTGCTCTAGTGCCAGGCTGTACATTTTCATTTAACGATGCAAAGCTTCCATTAGTTGCAGGCTTAAGACTCCAAAATACGCGTTACCAGTCGCTTAACGATGCCTTTATTTATGTAGATTATGTACCAGATCATCAAGTACGGCAACGTCGTGTGTTTAGTTTTCGTTTCTAAGCAATTAAAACAAACTACAAGGCAAGAAGCCTCATCAGTTTAAAAAGGCTGACTGTTTCGAAAGACGATTGCGTGTAATGTACATACAGAATACGATTCCAGTAATAATAACTATGAAGTTCAACATCGTGTACATAGGTGTGAGTCACAGAGTAAAAGAACAGCTTATTTTTTTCCTAGAAAATGGAACTACTAACACAACAGTTAGTCGGTAGGACTAGTCAACCATGGAGCGAACTGAAAACGCCGAAGCATACCGTTGTTCCCTTTTCAGGACGTAACTGTGTTAAGTTAACGAGGACCGATACTCTTAGCTGTACAGATACCACACAAGAAAGCACGATGCACACTAACAATTCGGCCCATTTTCTAAACGAGGTGTTGCCATCATGGTTTACGCCCGAAATTCCTCATCCCTCTTATCGCTAGCGACATACCGTGTGTATCACCGTAGATATTTATAGGTGGTTCGATGTACAGAAGGATTGGTTCACTAGCAAAAATCATTGAGGCCTGATCCGCGACAGATATGCATTCCTCCTCTGTGAGCGGAGACATAGGACTCTTGGTAGCCCTCATGAGAAGTAGCCGATCGCGCAAGGCTTCTAAAGGCATAGGTGGCCCCCTTTTCATGGTAGTCATAGTTGGAGGCCCCCCAGCTCGGCCTGACGGAGGGCACGACGTTGTTGTTATGCTCGAACAACTGCCGCGAACAAGAATGGAGTCCGCCGTCACAGTCATAATGTCACAATGAGCGTATATCTCAACTTTCATGCGATTTGTTGCCTGCAAAGCGCAAGCAACAGTTGTGTGAGCTTTTAATTCAACGGAAACGACAAAATCAATCAAACTAGTCGTCAAAAAAACGTCAGCTGATTGGTTTCGGTCTCCCGTATATATATAACCAGGAGCAAGCATATAGGCTCTTTTCGCCGTGCACCTCCGCTTCTTCCCGACAATGTCAGTTTCAATCTAGGCTACTAGAAATGGCCGCGAAACACAATGCAGAACAAAACACGCGCTCTTCCATATTACGTATTGCTCGGTGGAAGTCGTGTGCGTCTGATAGGCGGGCCAAGCAACGGCGTTCTCGCCACAGATCAATTTCACAACGCAATCTCGTTACGCCTAGAAATAAAGACTTTTCGCGCCAACATTGTTGTTTGCTTGCAATGGCTTCGACGAATAGCTCGACATCATTATCGTATCGGTCGGAGTTTTTACGCGTAAAGTCACCCGCTTTGCCGCTTAGGTGCTCGCACGAGACTAGGATTTAAAGAGAAAACCATAGCAGGTAATATGTTAGGCTCGAGGTATCCTACATAGGTCGATTCCGTTTCTCTGGCCATAGCGAGCGAGGTTGAGTCTAGACGCATCATACAGGCGACAGCTGGGAAAGGGATAGAGGCTTTAACGCGTCCTTGCTAGAGCTCTTGGAAGTGAAACTATTAACGTACAAAAGTTCAGCTACACTACAGGGCAACTAATATGCTTAAGTTATTTACTGGGGCTTTGACATACGGAACAGCAGACTGATACTTTTCTATTATTTAAACGCCCGCTCGTAAACGCTTATAAAACCGATAGTGAAATGCAACCGCATAATTACCTCTCGACGTACAATTCAAGTGGGCCATGGTCCGAAAGCCCCGGCCTAAATAGACTAAAATGGCTTTGAACTGTCCTTAGTTTTGAATGTGGCCAGGAAAAGTCACATCTTTTAAGGATTTAACAATCTACGAAAGCTTCTAGCAGAAATGATGAATGTATAGTGCTACTTTCCAAATAAGTATCATGTTGAAAGCACCTAGCCTTAATGACAAACAGCCTGCATTTTACTAAAAACAACCAAACATCAGAGTTCTAGTGGCATATTTACCATCTATCTATTGACTGTATTTCAATGAAAGATTGAAGAGCAGGTAGAGCATCGAATACCGCATCGGTGAAATACCCACTTCTAACTTGTGAGCGAAATTTCAAAGATAGATGAACTCATCGCCTAATATGCTAATACGTCCATCTTGCCACTGTCATCTACCACTTGCGGCAAAATCTTTTGAGCTATTTCGGAACACTGCGGTACCTATGGCGATCGAGTGTGAAAGGATTTAAATAACCAACCATTATATTCGTACCATGCCACTCAGCAGCTTCCTGCACTTCTGGGCAGTTTTTTTTTTTTTTTTTTTTTTTTTTTTTTTTTTTTGTAAAATTACGTACAGTATTGAATGAAAAATCTACATATACATGTACGGGTTTATCAGACAGCGTGCCGTTTTACGGTGTGTCATCCTATCAAAAATAAAATGACTTCCAATGTTGCCTCAATCCGACTCCTTACGTTCCAGTCATTTTAGGTTAGGTTGTTGTCGTAAACTATTTGATCTACGCATTTAGTGACGTATAGAAAGGAGGCGTTACTGTGGACTATAATTTCATACTGATGCCAGGACATAACGCGAAAATACAGGAAGAAGTCCTATTTACTGTTACAGATATGTCAAAATGCAATTATTGTCCGATATCAACTGTAAACAAATGACACCGATCACCCCTAAATATTCACCGCATAGATAATCTCGACTTGTTTAAAGCATACGTTTGGACAGATGCTGACCGCCAGAGGTTATCTCAAGGTCCAGCTCCGGAGAGATCCATTTCACAAGTCCCTTGGTGACAAATCTGGAAGCCTAGTAAGACTCGGCTGCCTGAATCCTTTGTTGTTCTTTCAGCTTAAGCTTTCTTATCCATCTCTCAAGATGCAAAAAATTATAGAAAAGTTTTTGTGCGAAAGAAAAGTGCGGAGTCACACTGAATGACTGATTGACCATTAGCGATTAACAGTTAATTAACCACTAATCAGTCTTGGCAAAAACTTGAAGTGACCCATAGACAGTATGCATCACTGTGCATCAGACATGTAACCTTTCTTGAAAAAGTTTTTTTTTTATGAAATTTGTCCACAAATTTTGAGGTCTGTAGATGATAAGGTCATACCATTGCCGAAAATGTAACTAGATGTTTGAAAGGGACGTCTGGTAGCAACACGCCGTCGTAACTTCTGCTTGTTTGGTCTGCACTATAGCGCGTATGGCTGAGAGGCATTGCAATCTGATTTTGTTTTGTGAAACGTTCCGAATATCTCATTGTCTGGTTATAACTGAGTTATACTTTTATAGATTAATGCTCAAACAGGGCTAGGTATGAACAAATCGCGCGACTAATTAGTAAAGTCCATTTAAAAACAAGCAACTTATGCCCGAATCAATTGCGACACATCGTGCCTATTACCATACATGTTTATCGATGTACGGGCATGTCGGCTTGATGACGAAAGCCAAAAAGGCCTGGTTCGCGCCGGGTACGCATTCCTTCTTCGTAAGTGAAAACTTATTGAACCTTTAGTAGCCTGCATGACCACTAGCCGATTTCGCAAAGCTTCGTAAAAGTGGGGTGGTGACTTTTAGCTTCTACCCACAACTGAAGGCCTAGCTTACAACTTCACGAAACAACAATGAGCTTGCCAGGCTCGACGTCTTCGAAGACGTTGATGTTAACTTCTGCTTGCTTCGAATCAGCAACAGCGTCCATTGGTTATAATGAGCAGGTACCACACTATCGAATGATTTGTTGATATTATACATGGGCTGTAGCAGAGCAACTAGTTTAACGGAAAATGAAACATCGAGTTATTGGAGTAAGTTGAAGTTCTGTTACTAATTGTAGTAAAAAAAAAACGTGTGCTTGGTCAGTTTTCGTCTCCCGCATCGAACAATTAAGGCCATCATGTGAGCAATATCTGCAGTTCACCACTATTTTCCGGGCAGTATAGGTTACAAAACGATATCGTAGAATTTCCGCGTGACGCAAAACTCCGACGGCTCGCGAAAACACCAATTTGAATTTCGTAAGCATTTCCTTTGCTGTCCTTCTTTTTCTATGGTCTAATAGTACTACAGGTCACTGATAAAAGCCTGTTACGTCTTGCATGTGGACTATGTAACGACTTTCCTGGCAAACATTCGATTCACAGCAAGGCTTTGTTTACATTCGGCTTGTTCACTTGTACTGGTGTGGAAGACTCGAACTTTGTATGAGGCAAGACGCGGTCCAGGTTCGATTCTGGGCGTAGACATACTTCTTTTGTGCTGGTCAACTGCCATATCGGACGTGGAACTCGAGACATTTCCTTATTTAGAAGAAGGTCAGTGCAGCATCTCCCTTTGTGCGCGCAAATTTCACTGCTATGTGTAAGCATGAAACACATCTTTTACTATGCGCTGAAAACTATGCACTGGACAATGACACATGTATTTGAAGTTTTAACATAGACTACACAAAACGATGCCGTCATGATGGCCACAAAATCTATCGTTCATCTCAAAGATTCTTAGTCGGCATTGATTTACATTCCTTGCTCTTAAGTAGCCTTCGATTCAGCATCTGCTGAAAAAGGCTTTTTGGAGGATTCTAAAGGCTCGTATCGAGCCAGTTAGGAATTTAGCAGATCGCATCGGGTTCGTCCATGGACAAAACCCTTTGATCAGATATTCCAGCTAACGTCACTAATGTAAACTCGCACGTAAAGTCCTGTGAAAAAGCGATCACGTAGAAGTAATTCATTTTGTAATCGCATCGACATAAATATCCAGATATACGCTTCATATGAAGTAGAGAGGAATGCTATGGGCAATGAGGACCAAAACGGGCTGAAATGTTTGCTACGCTATCGACTTTGTTCCGCACAAAACACGATCCTATTTGTAATTCTCCGGTAAAAACGCCTTGCCTAAACACACGTGCGGCCTTCGTGAATTTTATGAGACTCAAACACAGTTTAACTAGACAAAAGCTGAAATATTCTCACATCCCTGTCTTCATGTATTTATGAGTAGTTTCGTTAAGACATTTTTGAAAAATCGGCTTAATCCGTACCTAAGCAGTTCTTTATGACCGCAAAATAATCAGTCAGATAAATCATAGAAAAACTTGGTGGATTTTATTCGTTATATAGAATTGATGTTTTTCCAGTCGGTGCAGCAAGAAAGCTATATTGTCTTACACGTTTTATCCACTTATATACTTATCAGTAGTATTGGTACAAGGTAATAAAGCCGCGTAATTTATTTATTCCACTTCACGCACAGGGTTGTTTGTTGGTAATATTCGTTTTATTACTGTTATTATTAATTGTAGCTAGTGCTTTTTGTGTATGGAGTCCTACAGAAAACGATTACCACATCGTTCTAAAGACGTATCTTTTATATAGCAGATAATACAAAACGGTCTTTTGTCCGGTCGTTTGTTTTTTTTTTGTTAATATGTTTTTAATTTGACAATTTATTGGAATTTTCATTTTCACTTTAGTTTACAGCCTTTTTGTTAGCACCCTGTCTCGATCGCCTTATCTTGTTTGTACTTCGTCTTTTTTTGTATTGCAGCTAAATTTTTCGGAACTCGGTAACTATTTTGCTGTCTTTTTCGAATTGTCATCTTCATCTTCATCTTCACGATCGTTATTATATTAAAATATATGCGTATATATGATCACAACACAAAAACGACACGCACTCATACAGCAGCGTACGCCACGTTAAGGGCACACTTCATACCTTCACTCGCATGTGTATATGCATCAACTATTTTATGGATTAATATTAGATGTAGCTTTTACTATCATAATGTATATATATAAATATGTATATTTTTCCATTGACCTTTTGATGTTGTCTATCATTATTGATGTTATGGCTGTATCCCCATAACACTGTCCAATTGCTAACGATATAGCTGCGGTCACAAGAGCGAACACAGTCAATTATCTAAGAAAGTAGATTGGTTCAATAGAGGGTCATTAGTATGAAAATGCTTAAAAAAAACTAAAAGTTCTCAAAAAACCCACCAAAAGCGGAAGGAAACCGGCTTAATGGTGTACTCCTGCTAAGATCGAGAAGTACACGACTTCCGTAAAAAAGCTGCAAAAGTTTTTTTTTTTCGAGGTCGCAGATTTTAGCTTTCGAAAGAGGCCAGTCGTGTTGCTAGACGTTTCAGCACAATACAAGGACACTGCCTATTTCCTAGTTCAATCGAACTTCAAAAAGGTATGTGTACGAAACGATTTATTTTGAAGGGTGTTGTATGGAAAAAGAGTTTTGGTGAAGTTGATGCTGTGAAATAAGAAATCGAACGGAACATTCTAAGACCCTGCTACGTTTGCGGTGTTGTCCAACTGCATTTGCGTAGTCGTCTCTATCTGGTCAACTAGGGTGTCGTTGAGTAGCTCCCGGCGTTTGGCCTCGAGGGCCGGCAGACCCAGCACTAGCGAGACGATGATTGCGCCTAACGCAATTCCCATTACAACCGCTACAATTACGCAATCCCTACAAGTTAGGTAAAACCTGAGAACGAGAAAGCGACAATCAAACGTTATTAATAAATTATGATGTGTCAGCTAGTGGAGACAAACGTAGAAGATAAATAAAAAACAACTGAAATATATGCAGTATACATATACATACAGAATGGGGCAAAGATCACTTGGCAGATGTATGGTAGACATATACGATATACATACATACATATATATATACTACAGGTGCAGAATGAAGACCTTTAAACTTTCGATCTTTTTTCCCCATCCCCTATATACAATGACTACATAGAGTTATATGTACACAAGCGAACGAATCATATTTCAAATTGTTTACAGATGATGACTTTGACCTTAGTTATCCGTTATTTCAACGCTACTTTTTTTTCTATCATTTTGTTATCGTTATGGAATACTCGAAGACCGTACATCACATCAGCATCAGATCTCGTCCTTCGGCTATGGCGCGTACTCTTATACAATATACTCGCATTTTGAAATCAGCAGAATTGAGCAGTTTATCTGAGAAACATATGCCTTGAAGGAATATATTTTGTTATAGCTATCAGACAAAGGCTGGCACAGTGTCCCCCATTGTTTGATTCAGAAATTCTCAGCTTAATTTATCGGAAGCTTATTCTTCAGCTGCGAATTGTTTCTTGCATTGTTATGTAGCCGGCTGAGTAATCAGGAAATTACATCCTGCCGGTCACGCTGATCATAAGCTAAACTCCTTCGTGTTACGCTGTTGCGCCCAGTGTATCCCTTACGTACATGTATGGATTTACTAAGGAAATTAAACCCTTGCCAACATAATTATCAGAAAGATTAGTAGCCTGGTCAAATTCGCTGTCATCAATCAGCTGAATTGGTGGATACGACATAAGGGGGGCTAAATGTTACACTATGTCCCGTTCTCAATCTTGTTCTATAAATATGTAAATGTTTATTCAACTATATATATATATATATATTTTTTTTTTTCTTTTCTATGACAACTATTTGCACACATATTCTGTCATGTATTGTGTCAGTTATCTGGATTTTCATCTGGCCACTACAGGGTCTTTGTGGGGCGCCTTGGCACAATCTTCTCATCACGTTGTCCACGACAATATCACAGTGAGCCCCCTGATCACTTGATACGAAAAAGATAGCTAACAACTAATCAAGTTCTATATCTATAATCTTATATATATATATATAAAATTAACATATTTAGCTCAAAATTAGCTTGTGATGCCGTTAAAGTTCCTTCAGTATTATAGAGGGGGACTTGGATGGGGTTGATACAGAGATCTAAAAAATTGTTGTGTTTATGATATATTACTTGTGAGAAATTCGTCTTCCTGAATTACTGGGGGATAGTTGAAAGCGTCAATAGCAAAACAGGTTCCATTAAACTTGAATAAGTGACTACTTGTTGAGCACAGCCTGCAATGTGCTTGTTAATGTCGTAGCCAAAATGATATCATACAAGATACAATTTTGCGTCTATAGTGTTAACAATATAACAGTTAGATGATCGGCGACAATTAATTTACTTGAAATATTCATATTTATCGATATACCTAAAAAGGACGTAGTTGCGATGTTTCGTAGGTAAAACCAGTAGTCGACTATGAAAATGGTCGGAAGGAACATATGAAGAACTCACGAAGGTTGTCTAACGCTGTACACTCGAGACTCATCTCTCACGGTTCCGTATCCATGCGAAGGACTCGATTCAGGCCTGTGCCTCACGCGGCCGGCTACCAAGTAGGACTTCTCTGAGACCTTTGCCATTACGTTTAATTAAAAGGTGCTTATCAGGCCAAAAGACGCGACCGATCGCGCAACGAACCTCGACTACGCGGAGCGGTCTAGCTACACCCCTAGAGTGTAGCTATCTTTGTCGAAACCAATCGGAGTTCTGAGCTGTCTCTTTTTTTTTTTTACTTTGCAATTAAAGCACTTAACTTTCACCAACACATTCTTGGGCAATTGAGTTTTAGATATAGATCACAGGTACTTTCTTTTTTACCAATACGTATTACTGATAGTAAAGATAAGGCAATCTACTTGAACCACAACGATTCGCTGTTACCTTCCGCTTGTCACCCGCTGTGCGTCGTATAGATGCAATCAGTACGGGCACATTGACAATTAAGGGTGTCATGTCCCAATAAGTCCGTCCAATTCTTTAGCGTTCACTACAGTGAAGCCCAATCAATAGAGCGCTGCTGTCGTTAGCATTTTTTGCTAACAAACTAGTAAATGTATGTCCTATGGCCGAGGGTAAGAGAGTCCACACAGGGACGTAGCGGCGCGGCTTACCGAGGGATTATTTTCATCGAAATACGAACGTCACAGTGACATGGTACAAAGCATCACCACGGCGGCTCCAGTTAAGCTAGCTCACCAAAGACTTTCCTAAAACTCATGTTGTTATGGCACACATACGAATTCTAATTATCTAGTGAACACAACGAATTTACGTCAATTTAGTTAGAAGTCTTATTTAGGGCTCATTGTTTGGGGTCAGTTTCGCCTAGTGCAAAGGTCTAATCAATGAGCCTATTTGTTCAATTAAATCATTTCCGCTCAATTCGGAGTATACTGTTACAATAAGCAGACGATTAGTTCAATATCAACATAAAATGGTACTGCAGTATATATTTAATAATCGGGATTAAAAAAAGCCGGAGCTGTCCCTAGAGAAGGTTGTATGATATGAATAGAAGTGTATTTTCGAAATCTGGGAAATGCACTTCATTGTAAAAAATAAATAACGCCACGGTCTATCATTAAATTTCTCATGTCTTTTTCGTTCTGCCTCAGATTAATGGATGCCTGACTGAGAACTAAAATAAGCCGCGTTTTCTGGGATCGCTATTACTGAATCATATCGACGACCTTCCGCCTCGGGGAACCATTAGACATAGAATAAATTACCATAGACAGACCTGATCTAAAGCAATCCGGATAAGCATTTTGTGGGTGCTCGCTTACCCGGAGTTGCTCAGCAGGCTGCGGTAAATGTCACCTAGGATAAACCTTTTTCACCTTGTTATTTGATTGAAACACAATTGTAGATGTTTCTTTGTGTAGTTGCCCTTTTATATCAATACGAAATTAGATAGATCACCGCGAAACAATACGAATGTTTCTGGCATTTCTGATTTGGCCTCTCTCTGCGCTTAAATCTACTGTTATTTGCCGCGGTGGCTTTTACGACCAAGTCCCCGGCAGTCAAGACGGACTAATGGTAAATGCGTTGAATGCATTTCCTCGATCGAGTAGTTTGATGGCACCCTTTTATAGCCATGCCACCTTCAAACTGGTCAAGGCAGGATATATGATTATAGTTATTATTATTATTCTGCTTCTTCAATTTTGAGCAATAGTATCGTCATTCTGATAACGCGACAATTCACGACGATATTCTGCAGACGGGTAGGAGCGCTGGCTCCGTCAGAAATTTCCGGCGGCCAAAATGAAAATATCTTAGTGAATAAAGCCTTGCATTATTGAAGTGACAGACAGAAAACCGCAATCGTTCGGGTAGGAAGAATCGATCAAACTGAAACTTGGCGACATTATGGAATTCCCCCTCATCATATATGCTTATAAGGCGTATGAATATCTTCTTTGTTTCTAATAAACAAATACTGAACTATAGCGTACATCCGTGCTTACGACTGTATACAAACCCGTGCCAGAATCTCAACTGAACTCGAATAGAATGCGAAATCGAATCGGGCCGGATCAGGAACTGCGTACCCTGATTCATTTAAGTGTGAGCAAGCAATGCACAGCTTACGTAACGTAACGAGCACAGGGAGTCAATTTGTATGACGAAGAGAAGAAGCATGCGCGGCAAATCCTTAACGCATTGTTAGCACAAACACGACTTGGTTCTGGCAGGCACCATTGCGTGGGATCTTAGGCTAAGAAAGATGCATACTCCAGAACGATCCTATGGAAGGAACGAATTGGTGAATTGTGGTCTCAACAATAATAGGTCTAGCCGGTGGGATTAAGCCTCACACTCGACCCGCATAAAAGGGACACTGTGCTCTAATAGAGCTAATCCTATGTAAACTATATTATTCAAGCCTTCAACAAAAAAAGATTCAACCAACATAATCTAACTAGGCTACAGCAGTTGACATTGTATGCACTCCACGGCGTCCAGTACTCGTTGCATTTATCTAGAGTCCTAACAACTTTATACAGCATTAGTAATGATTTCTACCACATGTCCCTGTATAGATCGTCTGTCGGGACGCCTCTTTCTGAGCAAACGCTGGAGTACTGCTCCGCACCATGTACCCTACCGTTAATCGCTCTCAGCATCAACTGAAGGGGGCGATTTCCAGCGCCTTCCTTTGTACACCACGCTGCCTATGAAACACAGCCATGGAGGCAAAAAAAAAAAAGCGAATACTCACAAAGGAAAGCATTAATAATAATAAAAGCTAATATAATAATAATAAATAATCAGAGCAAACATAAATTCGACAAAGCAGTTCAATTTGATGAGGTAATCAAGTCGCTTTTTCGAAGAACTCGAATGGTTATTGAAGTTAGTTTCTGCTATGATCCGAAGCGAAGTCTAAATGGCAAGGACAGCCTAATGGATCCGTACGTAACGTTGCAAGCAGTCGTAAGTGCTAACACACCCTGAATCGCTCACGAGAACCGACCTCGAAATTGAATGTTTGGAATCAATCAACGGTGACGGGATATACGATATAATGAAATGGATAGGTGCGACATATGCATTTATTAGAAAAGTAACCTTGCCTACAACTGACGAGCGAGAAGACATTGGCTCAGGCTTCATGATAATGACAATTATCTCTTGTATTAGATTGCTATAGACATTAAGTATGCCACGGGTACGTTCTTGGCTTGACACTCCATAGCATTTCTGAACTCGTCGAACATCTTTTCGATCAGACGATTGGATGTTCTGGAAGACCAGTAAACAATCACTACATTATTATTTGTGCCTTATATATTATCATTATGTATACATGCTTA